CAAAAAAGGAAAAAAAAAAGAAAAAAAAAAAGGTGAAAGAAAGTAGTGCTTAGTGTTTAATTTCAGCCGTGAAGACGGATTTTGCACACCACAGGGAGGCTACTTTGCATGAATCCCAGGAAAGGTTATGCATTCATGTTGCGAGAGTATGATTTGTTTTGGAAATGCCAAGTGATGGGTTTATACATCGCACAGTGACCAAGTGAGTGTTGGAGGCTGAGCCTTAACGCTTGACCATAGTCCGTGGCTTGGATTTTACGTACGCGGAGTTGAAATACTTAATTCGTTTGTGACTGTGACCATCCGTTTGGCTGAGCAGGGCTTCACACTGTTCCCCGTGGTCTCAGCACCTCCGGTCATACACACGTAGAATAAAAAATAAAAGCAGGCAGCACATAGCTGGTAACAGGGTCAGCACTGACCCAGGCAATTCAGGTAAGCCGTGACGTGGCCCGCCTAAGGTTTATACGCATTTTTTGTTTGTTTGTTTTTAACAACAGTAAACAAATTGTATTACTTAGACCGGAGGTGGAAATGTAAACAGAGAAAATCATTTGGTTCTTAATAAGTTATTCCTAGTCCAAATGAAAGAGATTGACTCACTGCAGTATATTAAACTTTCTAATAGGCTCCAGAGCTCACAGCTGGTGCAAAGTTATTTTGCGAGACAGAGTCACAGTTTGGGCAAGGGGGTCCTGGATCAGGAAATCTAATAGTATATACACGACGAGCCGTTAAATTTCATCTGATTAATCCTGTGTCAACATAGTTGTCAAAGGCAATAGACAGATTTTTAACATCTGCTACTCCATCTAGCTATAGCCAATTATGTGAAAATATATATTTTTGTGTGTGTATATAGCATATAAAAAGCCCATCAGTATTTATAACATAATTTATTTGACTTAAAAATAAAGGATTTTACCATTGGCACACAAAGTGTGTTGTATTATGCATTTAAATTATGTGAATGTTCTGTTAGCTGTGGATGCTCTCTGTGTGTACTTTTATGCCTACATTTTAAAGTCCAAGTAAGAGAAAATGGACTGTAAAACTTAATAAATATACGCCTAGAGACTTAATAGCTTACAGATTTATAAGTAAGCTACCCTTTTTCTTTTTGGTTGGGTAAAATATACGTGTGTTTGTGTGTGTAAACCAAAACTAGCACCTGAGCAGCCAGCACATGAGACAATCTGGGGAAGTTGGGGGAAATGTTTGGTTTGCTTTAAGGTTACTACAGTTATGTATTGAAGGCAAACATAGGTGCCTTTCCCCAGAATTGGTATTATTTTCAACACTTCTCTTTGCCTAAGAAGGTGAGTGAGCTCCGTTTTCCAAACTCTTTTGCATTAGTAATTCCTGAATGCGTCTCAGAACTGTTGCATGTGTTGTTTTTCTTCCAGCTAATTATCCGGTCTTGGGTGCTCAGCAGTCCTCTTCACCTGGGACCCCCTAAGTCAAGAGCACCTGCTGAGATTCATTAGTGGTAAAGAGCAGCACGAGCCTAAGCTAATACATCCACTTGCTGTGTTTCTCTGCGCTGGTGTCAGGACTGAGGATGCTCAAGGGCACTGCTGGTTGGAGCCAGGCAGATGTTTAGCTGCTGGGCTCTTTCTTGACACAGCCAGCAGCAGCAGGGAGAAAGAAGCAATGGACAGTGCTCCCAAGGTTGGAGAGAAAGGAAGGTGGGGAGAAAAGGAAGAGGTAGCAGGAGAGGCAGAAGAGTCATCAATAAAGAAATTCAACTGCAGAAAGGTTGGGACTCGTTCATTCAGAAGTTCTGTTCAAGCCTGACAAAATTAATCACACCGGTAGCTTTGAGGATCTGTCTGAAAACACAGTACTGCCTCAAATCAAATGATCCTTTGGCTCAGGGAAGAGTTGCCTATCAGTAAATTAATTTCTGCCTTGGGTTATGCAAACAAGAAGGAATGTTCCTCCTCAAACTATGAAAGGAATCCAATCTCTGGCATTTCAGAATCTTTTTTTTTTTAATTCCTCTTTCTTGTTTACTGAAATCAAATAAAAGATGAGAAAATGTAGTGTTTATATAAATGTGCATTGGAAAGTTGTTACAAAATCGTCAGTGGAAGAAAAGGTTATTCCTCAGTATTGCCTGGCAAATTTGGCATGCGATTTCTTGCACCAGCCGAATGCTGTCTCCCAGGCTGCCTGTTCCTGCCAGCTTAGTGTAAAGGGAGCTCTGTATCTCCCTAAATAAGCAAGCAAAAACTGACTTAAATAGCATGTAATGCTGAATGATTGTTAACTGTCATGTTTCAGAGTAGCCCTGGGCAGTTCTGTGCACTGCAGGCTGCTTAGAGTTGCCAAAGCTTTGGTGAAACAGCAATTTACCCCCTCTTTGGCCTACATGAAAATGGGCTGTGTGGGATGACTTCTTGGCTTTAGAAGAAGGTCTCCTGAAATTGCACTGTAGTGCTGGCTGGCAGTGCTACTCATACAGCTCTATTCCAAACACTTCCTTTTATTTCTGATATTTACTGTGTCTCCCCCTCCCCCCAAAAAAGGCACAAATTTGACAATGTTTTAAAGCCTTTTTAAACACTCTAGTGTGCTTACTTTTTGTATTGCATTGCCTTAAGATACAGTTATCATAGCAGCTGGAGTCCAGCTGGTAAAAAGACTCACACTAAATTGATTTTTCATTTGATAGTAATTTTACACTCTTCCATTATTTATCATAAGTGCTCTGTCTTGTCATGGTTCTGTTTATTGTATCCACAGAAAAAAGACAGCTTTGAAGGCCTTTGAAGCACCAAAAACTATACCCATTAACTTAAGTATCTTTGTGTGCATGAAATATTATGGAACACAAGAAAATCTTCACAAAAGAGTGCTGGACTGCATGCACTTCATACTCATTTTGTATATGCTGACTTGTAAACAGTTACATACATTATTCTCTCCTAGCAGAACATGTGGTTAATAGTGCTTTAAAAAAAATACCGACACTAGAAAGAAATCTACTGGCACTGACCTGATGAAATACCACAGTTTGAAGATCTGGCTGGAAAGGCTATCAGTGTATCTTCTTGCATTGTAGGAAAGAAGCCTGCCATTTAGGCTTAAAATAAAGTATTAGATGAAAAGGAGGTGGGTTTTGCATGTGTGATCTAGTAAATAAATTCAACCTGCAATTATCCTGGTGCTCATTATGAGCCCTACTGCTGTTTCATGTCTCATTTTCAGAACAAGAGGAAGAAGTGATACAAAAGGAACAGGTAAGATTTCTTACACAGTAACTGACGGATTTCTTTTTAAGCTTACGCTGACTAATTAAGAAGCCATCTGCTATTATAAAAAGACCCTAAATGCCAATGTCGTAATACTTGGCAGTGAAGTTCAGAACAGCACTATTCCATTGGTGCTGCCTATCCCTGGGCTTTTAAAAGGAATATCCTACAGGTGAGTTTCCATGATTGTTCAGGAGTTGCTCCAGCCCTCGTCGGAGAAAGGCATTCTGCCACCTTGTATCGTATTGCTGCCATGGAGTCTATTTGCTGCCGTCCCCAACCTCTATCTGCCCACTTGTGTTAAAATCAGGGGTATTGTTAAATAGAAATTGACTTTTTTTAACAGTATTTAGACAGAGGAAATATACAGCTTTCAGCACCCAACACCGAACTGCACATACAGCTTCTGTACAAACAACTGCGGATACCAAGTATGTAATTTGACTCAACAGCGCTGCATAGAAGCTCTGCAGAATTCCAGCTCTTGCTTATGTTGGCCCAGGTCTGGCCTTCAGAAACAATAACAGGAGATGTAATACACACAGAATGGTCTCCAGCGGGTGCCAGGGATGTTTAATGATGGTGTATCTCGGCCCTGGACAGACAGGGATGCAGTTAAGCACTGGAAGCAGTGGGAGAGCTTCCTGCACTAACACAGCCGTCATGGAGCGGCTCCAGCGTCCCTGCAAAGCTCTGCTCCAGCCTGGCCGGACGACAAGGATACTTCTTCAGCATTCCCCTATCCATATAAGCTATTGCAAGGGGCAGCATGTAGGAAACGGGTTTCAGTGATGTGGATTTTTCTTCAGAAAAGTGAAATTGGTAAATTTTGCCCTGCGTTGCTGAGATTCTCGGTGCCCAAATCGACGTTTTGCCTTTTTGTACAGTTAGTGTTATAAGCATGCCTGTTCTATCTTGTTCCTCAGCTGAGATGTAAACATGTGAAAGGGTAAGGATTTTGCTAGGTGAGTGTGTCAGCTTTTACAGATCGAGCTGAGTTAAGATATAGGCATTGAATTTCAATCGCTCTTTAGTTAGTCACTGATTTGGATTCTCATTTTTCATTTCAGTCTGTTGGTTGCAGGACCCACATGCTGATATCTTTTAGCTTGGTCAATACCTAATGAAAAGAGACTTACCAATGAAAATGTTAGGGAAAATGTAACAGTCATAAAATTATACCACCACGGTGGTAAGGAGTAGGAAATTGAGAATGGAACATTATCATCTTTTTAATCATTCATAATCTCTTAGCAAAATTGTGCATTGATTTATTTCAGTGCTTCTGTTCTTAAAAAAAATAGGTATTTCTCTTCCTTTTATTTATTTTTTTTTTGTAGTGCAGCTGGATCTAGATGACCCACATGCTCATGTATTTGCAGACATCCTGTTTGTGGGTGGAAGAAGTTTCGTGTGTGGTCAGCTACGTGGCACACTTTGCTGTTGTTTCAGGCACAGGAGATTGATTAGGGCCTCTCTTATAATGTTCAAGCCATGATACAAAATTTGTATGCAACTGTAATTATTCAAAAGCAAGTCTTAAAATGTTTTACCTTCCCTCTTTTTAAAATTCCAGCTCTTAGATTCAAGTGTTTATATATAGATTGTCATCTTCTATGCTAAAGGAAATGAGATTTCTCTTATGGATGAAGAGAAAGCCTCGATGAGGCTAAAAATGAGCCTCGATGTGTAATAAGAACTGGCCGAAAAGAGTGATCAGCCAGCTCTAAACTTTTTATAGTTAAGATTTTAAAGTAAGTTTCTGATATTTTCAGATATGCTTCATGAACTCTTCTAGATCTCAGATAACATCTCATACGGAAATTATATGTAATTGTTAAATCTAGATCTCTGCCTACAGGGGTATTTAAGTATTTACTGCCCATTGAAATTAGTGAGATATAGGCATCTGCCTTTCAGTTTGGTGTTAGTCCTTAAGAGAGTTATGGATACTCAACAGAGATATTCAGTTTCACAAAAGGCATGTGAAATGTGTTTAAGTGATTATTCCTATTGCAGTGACCCCTGGATCAATGCAGGGAATAGACCTGCTCAGCAGTTAACTCTCTTGACTTTATGCTGTGGGAAACACGAAATTCAAACGTAGCTATCATAGTGAGAATTTAGGGAAATAACCACTGTAAGCAGCAGGATAATTCAAATGTGTCCATGGTTCTCATTGTGTCAAAACTCCTTTTGCTTTAAATAGAAAGTTCTCTGGGTAGGAATTGTAAAATTAAGCTTCAAAAGCCTATGACAAACAAGGGAAAGAACAGATTTTCATTTTGCACGTTATCCTTTTAAAAACCTTTTAAGTTTAAAAGTGCATACATTCATAGATACAATGTGCTCTGGCACATTCTTGTGCAGATCAGGCTGCCCCCTAATATGGAAGGTTGCTCCATGCGAAATGCCAGGTGCAGAACAGAAAGAGGAAGCCTTGGTAAAAGTAGACAGAGCATCCAATTATACACCAAATTAGGGTATCTTTTTTCATTGTGATCAGGTTTGCTTTTTGTTCTGGATGAGTTTCCTCCTCTTAATGTCTTCTGTCCGTTTTCCAGCAAGAGCTTAGCTTGTTTGAATCCACAGGTGCATAAATCTTTTTCGTTTTTGCATATATTGATCCAGTTTGTTATTTTAAAATGTTTCTAAGTAGCTAGTGTTAGACAAAAAGATGAAGACATGTTTCAGCTCCAAGCAGAAACTATCCAAGCAAGACAGAAAAATGTGGTCAGTAAACAAAGAGGCAGAAAGCACTCTGCCTTCATGGACAGCTATCACAGGGGATACAGGCCAGTACCTACAGCACTGGAAGGGGGCTTGGAGTTTTACCCTTGTGCGGTGGAAAATTGAGAGATGACCTCATGTCACATTAGAGACCAGACATACGGTTCCCGTGGCAACGGGCATGGTATAAATCACAGAGTCGTTGGAAGGGACCTCAGGAGGTCTCTAGGCCAGCCTAAAAGCAGGGTCAGCTGCGGGGTCAGCTGTGAGGTTGCCCAGACTGTGCTCAGGTGGGTTTTGAAAGCCTCCAAGAACGGACAGCGCAAGACCCGCCTGGCTGTCCTCATGGGGAAGAGGGGCCGTCTTGGATACTTACAAGCATTCCCATCCAGCTTCCCTCGCCTCACCTTCTCACCACGCAGTCCTGTGAGGAGCTGGCCTCATCTCCGCGCTCCTCTCCCCATTGGCGCCAGCGGCCACGCGCCGCCCTGAAGCCATCCCCGCTCCGGGTGACCCATGCCAGCCCCGCAGCCTCTCCTCGCAGGGCAGGGGCTCCAGCCCTCATGCACCCGGGGCTTCCCTGAATCCGCTCCTGTTTGTTGCCATCTTTCTTGTACAAACCCGGATGCAACGTTCTTGATGCGGCCTCAAAGGTGCTGAGAGTGATCCCGTGATCTCCTGGCCGTGCTGCAAGGACATGCCGCATTCATGCTGCCCAGGGCATGGTGCTCTTCACGGCAAGGCTGTCCTGCTGGCTCGTGCTCATCTCAACGCCCACCAGGACTAAAGGCTTCACGAGTACAAATTGTTTTTTACCTGGATTTTCAGGTTTTGACAGTAGTGATGTAAGTGGCCTTGATCAGCTTCATTTGGAGATGGGTTTTGAGTTGGTACCACAGCCAGGTGACAGTGCTTAAAGGAAACGAAAGGAAAAGCTTATGCTAGCTGTCACACCCTTGGGACACAGGCTTTTCCTGTGGGAAAACCCAGGGAACTGCTTTCCAAGCAGTGTGACATAATTAAACAGGTTTTCGGGTTTGTTGTGGTAGTTTCCACATAAGATTTGGATAGTCTAGAAGAAAGTTTGGATGCATTTATATACTATATAGTGCTTCCTTTCTGTGATAGATAAATGTGTGGTCATTTCTTAAGGATATAGCAAGGCATATTTCACAGCCTTTTTCTCATTATGACCTGGAATTGTCTGGGGCTTTTAGTGTTATCGCATGGGATCATTAAATATTACTAGGTAGTTATTTATAGTAAGAATGATTTTTCCCCCCCCAGCTCTCCCTGTGCATTTCTTTATGCAGTGAAAGTTCACAGCTCCCAACCTTGTCCAGCTGCACTGCCGGCGGAGTTGACACCTCCACGTGTTGCTCCTTTTGCTTAATGTACTGGTGCTGCCCTTTTGATTTCAATGGGTTGTACTCCATTAAAGAAAGTTAAACATAAGAAAATAGGTTCTGAGCATCCGAGTCCTGTTCAGTCACATAGATTTCTATGAGTATATATATATAGATACGTTAATACCTATCCACAAGAACCGATAATAGCAGAGTTTATTTCTAATAGCGAACCTTGCTATTTGAGTATATGTAATCAGTGCTGAATGCATTATTCACAAAGAATAATTTATTAGGCAGATGTCACCACCCCATCTGCTCAGGGAATATCTCAGAACAGACTTTCTCCTATTTATTAATTAAAAAACGTTTATCATTTCTTTTTTTTTCCCCCAGTTAACCATGGCTAGATCACCGAATTGTCGTAACTTGTACACGCCGTTGCACAAAATGACGCGAATCGCTTCCGTGGGGCTCTTGCTACTATGATCCTTCCAGTTAAGTTTAACAAACTATAATAAAGGCTGAACGTAAGGTTGCCTTTTCAGCAACTGGGGCCAAGTCTTCAGGCATCATTTGCCCTGCGGCGACTGAACCGCACGGCATCGGAGGGAACTCTCCGGAGTCAAACTGTTACGTTATGTTATGTTATGTTATGTTATGTTATGTTATGTTATGTTATGTTATGTTATGTTATGTTATGTTATGTTATGTTATGTTATGTTATGTTATGTTATGTTATGTTATGTTATGTTATGTTATGTTATGTTATGTTATGTTATGTTATGTTATGTTATGTTATGTTATGTTATGTTACGTTATGTTCTCCAAACCCACCAAGGCTTGCGCGCACCGCGCCACGAGCAGCCTCG